TGCACTCAATTTTTTTTTATTCTTTTTTTTGTAATCTGTGTGTGTATACAGGAGAGAGAGAGAGAGGGGGGGGGGGGGGAGAGAGAGAGAGAGAGAGAGAGAGAGAGAGAGAGAGAGAGAGAGAGAGAGCAAAAGATAAGAGGGCCCCTGCAGGTAATCTGAAGGGTCCTCGCAGCAAATTAGCGTAGACGTGAGCCCCCCCGGCCTGCCCCGTTACAAAAAAAATAAAATAAAAATTGTTAACTATTTACTAGAAAAACATTGTATTCATGCGCAGTTCTTAGCGTCCGCGGTGCAGGTTTTGTGTGTGGTTAAGCAAGATATGGATCCAAGTCCAACATGAAGAGCGGGGGTGCGGGGAGGGCCTCCCCTGCAACTTGAACAAAAAGAAAAAAAGTATATTCGTAACTGTTTATTAAAAAAAAGAAAGTCCATTTAACATACATGTATATTTTTTATGGATGTGAAAGTATGTTTAGGTTGGGGTTTGTGTCCGTTGAAGCAAGATATGGATCCAAGCCCGACAGCCCCCGCCCCTTGCAACTTGAAAAATAAAGTCCATTCTGTGTGACTACTTTCTTCACCGCTTCGGTAGTTTGTTATGAGGGCGTAGCCCGCATTGCCCGCACCGCGGGCGCTAAGCGGTAGTGATGTATTGTTGGGCAACCTTGTTAATACACAACTGCCTGGAGGGGTCACCCGTTATGTGCTCGATTGATTCACAATCCAAAACTGCATTCAAATGTTGCCATACACATCTGCAACGACAGGCAGACTGGAGAGAGCAGGTTCACACCATAGCCATGGAGAGAGATTGCACAGCGGAAGCCAAAACCAGATACAAAATTGAGAGAAAATCGTTTTTCAATCAATTATCAAGTCCCCCTGCTCTCCTCCTTAATCAGACAACACCCGAAGAATCTCAACCACGAATTTAGTTCCACCCTCGATCAACTCCCAACAAGCCTTCAGTGAAAGCTCACTGAAACTTCCCCTCCTGCCGACAACTTATGAACCCAGGTATGGCGTACAGCTCTACCAAAGGCCAGTCCCCAAGTATCTACAAGCTGCAGGCACTGTTCTGACACAGGTCAGAGGCCCAGTCAGCAGCGCCAATCGCCACCTTGAAGAAGAAGATGCACTTCGATGAAGAAGATGATGGCTCCTCGATTTGGCAGCAACCAACAAACAGCCGCTTGGTGAACCAGCAGCTTCCTCAAACCCACCAAACAGCAACAATGAGGCAGTGATGATGTACAGCGTCAGACTGACTCCAGTCTGTGCTGTTCCCCCAGGCGCCAGGCAACCCCAGCCATGGCTCCTTCGATACCAAGAAGAAGAAGAAGCTCAAGCGCTGAAAATTGCGCTCAAAATTAACGGAGCTCCTCCCGACATTGACATCCCAAAATTTGACGAAAAGAACCCGAAACCCATGGGGCATAGCCTACTTTAACCCGACTTCCCTGCCTGCAACACAGCAACTGCCTTCGGTCTTGTCTGCCCGTCCAGGCATCCAACATCTACGGCGTATCCCCCTACATGTATCTCCCAACCACCCCCTACAACCTGTATGTATGTAGACAGCAACCAGACCAAAGGGAACATAAACTGTGACAAAACAAAAGCCAAGGGATAGGTCGCAGGATCATGCCCCACAACACTCAAAGCAGCAGCACCACACTTTTCTTTCCTTTTTTTTTTTTTTTTTTTTGTTGCGTGGTAGTGCAGTTAAGGGCCATTGAGCTCTCAGATAGGATACAGCCCGCTGAAACTGCAATTCATTGCATTCCTACCCTCCCGGGGAGCGAGGACCCCGAGGTAGGAGTGTCCACGAGGAGACCGTCTGAGTAACTGCCCTTTCTGTTCAGCCTCGTAGAACCGAATGACTGAATTTGCAGACTTCAGAAGTTCCTTCCTTGTGAACCAACGGGCCTCTGTATGAGGTTGGAACAAGAACTTCACAAGGTATTCACAGTTGGGGCCTGTGCCCTGCTGATCCTCTATGCTCTCAACTTCATATCCTTGGTTCGAATTGGGTTTTGGGGGACCCCTGCAGCTTCCTTCTCTTCTGAGTTTGATTTCGTTTCACTTCGTTATAGCTCACTCTTCTGCCGCAGCACCCTGTTGGGATACCTCCAACAACAGACTTTGCTGTCCCAGACCGTGTGCTTTTCCCAAATGCTTAAGGTAAGGCACCCTTCTATCAAATTCCTTTTCTCATTCATAATTAGGTTTCTCCATGTAGGGCTTCAGCCAGTATATGAACATTCTGGATGGCTTGACGGCTTCCAGAGGAAGCTGCACTAGGCAGATTGACGGAGTTGTGGGAACATGCAAACCAAACAACCAGTTATGGTAAATACCTGTAGGGCCTCCTTTTCTCTGTTAATCTTCTCCAGGGATAATGTCAAAGCCCTATTTTCCAGCACCAATTTGTTTCCCATCTTGTCTGCAATACTGGTTTGTTCAGCAAGCTTTGCATTTGCGGCCTCAGCAACCCTAAGCCTCATTTCCTGCAGAATGAGGAGTGAAAACAACAACAGAACATGAGAACGTCACAGTTCTCTCTCATCTCCCTGCAAACAAACTTGCAACGATGAAGAGCACAGTGGTATGCAAAAAAGAAACAAATGGATCGTCTGTTACCTGCCTGCTTGGACCTGTTGCATTTCACGCTGATGTTCGCTACGACACAGGTCATCATGACTCATAAGGGGCAAGTGAAAAATGAGCCTGGATTTCCAATTTTGTTCAGGCCCTTGGAGGGAGTACTGGTCAAGGTCTCACTCACTCACAGGAACGCTGTCTGACAACATCAGAGCTCTGAATAGATCGGCGTGTTACAGGCTTCCATACTCATGCTCATTATCTAAGGTGTTCCGGGTCTCCTTTAATGACACTTGCTAGCCGTGCGATCATCGAGATCTCACAGCTAAGAACGGTCACGCAACAGAGAAGATCAGCATGGGCTGCGCAAGGATGACTTGCATAGACTGAGAAATGGTCCAATTTTTTTTCTCGATCCCATGGGGGATCGAACCCGGGTCTGTATTTCAAAAGTTTTTGGGTTCCCCACGAACCCTGACAGGACCGTTGGCATAAGCCAACGGGGATAAGAAGAAGAAAAAAAAAAAAAAAAAAAACTAAACTCACTCTCGATCCCATGGGGGATCGAACCCGGGTCTGTATTTCAAAAGTTTGTGTGTTCCCCACGAACCCTGACAGGACTGTGAAAAAAAAAAAAAAAAAAAACTAAACTGACGACTAATCGTCTGATGACGTTGCGAGAATTCACCGGGGCTTTCAGCCCTCAGTTCAGCTGACGGTGCCCGTTCTAAACGGGCAACCGTTTCTATTTGAAGGTAAGTATTCCTTTTTCTTTTTTAGATTTTCTTTTTTAGATTTTCTTTGGGTTTTCTTTTTCCAGAATTGCGTTAGATTTTCTTCTTTTAGATTTTTGTTTTTTAGATTCTTGGATTTTCTTGTAGATTTTTTGTTTTCTTTTTGTTCGTGATCTGCCTAAGGTCCCCGTTCGTTTCGACGAACGGGCTGAGACGGCCGTCTACAGGATGAGCCAAACCGAATGAATCTATCGTTAGAACATGGAAATATACACTCGTGTGTGTGTATGTGTGTGTGTGTGTGTGTATGTGTGTTTGGATGAGGACAGGACGCTACTGCGCTTGAAAGTGCAACCAGAAGTCATACCATCAGAAGGTTGAGTGATCCACATCGTATGGAGAAGGCTCATACACCCCAAACACAAAAGCAACAGATGTGCATACATCGACCTCTATCTTTCACCAAACCTACCAACACCACAGGACCATGGCCCAAAGGCATTAGGCCGCAAGACCACAAAAGGAAAGCAAAAGACAATCACAACTAGTCGCAGCGCAGGGTAGCGACCCGAAAAAAACGACAAAGGCACAAAACAATGTGCAGCAGCGAAAGGTTGGAGGGCAAGGGGGAGGCGGGTGGCAGGCAAACAACACAAAACAACAAAGCACACTGGTGAAAGGCATGGGGTAGACGGATGAGCAAGCAAACAGCGTAAGGCAGCGAGGGAAACAATAACAAGACAAATGACAACAATGTAAAAACAACACCCGAAAAAAATACAAGTATAAACAAAGGAAAGACTGAAAAAAATAAAATAAACAGATGATGAAAGATTGTTTCGTCGGAGTTGCACCGACTCATCAGGAGGCTGAACCCTCGACAATCTGTGGAATCTCCGTATTTGATGGTTTGGGTCATGAACCCTTTGACCCTTGTTGAAGGCAGACTGTCCCCAAGCGGAACATAGCAGCGGGCAGCAACCCTGTAGAGCACCAGGCAACACAGTAGAGGCAACACGCCTGCACAACGCCAAAAAATGACTGCAAGGAACGACATGGCATGCAGGACATACAGCGTGGCAACCGTGTAGTGAAGCACAAGGCAACACAAACAAGGCAACCACACTGCAAGCGATGACAGGGCAAGCAGACCAGCAATTCGACAACCGTGGAGCGAAGCACGAGGCACCCGCAACAAGGCAACCAACCAATAAGGCCTGCAAGCAGCACACACGGAAGGCATGGCCAGCGGAAGGGCAGCAAGGCAGTGGAGCAGCGAAGCGCAAGGCAACACCAACAACACGGCCACACCACACAGCGAACACATCAACCTACAAGGAACAGCATGCAAAGCAAGCAGGACAGGCAGCAGGGCAGCGGCGGAGCACAAACGAGGCCGTCCACACATCCAACACAAAGCAAAGCAGTACATGACCTACTCACATCATGATTGAACCCCATAGACTGTTGGTTCCCACCACCCACTGAGCCAGGGAGTCACTCCGACAAGCATCCGTCATCACCTACAGGCAACACAGACATCCCGAACCAAGCGGCCCCCATAAGAGTGCAGTAGGCACTCCAAACGAGGAACCACTGACTGTTTGGCACTACTTAAGGGTGCTCAGTTGCGCACACAAAAAAAAACTTAGAAAAAATCAGAGGGAGGACAGACAACAGAAACAAAAAACTGATTGTGTGTGTGTGTGTGTGTGTGTGTGTGTGTGTGTGTGTGTGTGTGTGTGTGTGTGTGTGTGTGAGAGAGAGAGAGAGAGAGAGAGAGAGAGAGAGAGAGNGAGAGAGAGAGAGAGAGAGAGAGAGAGAGAGAGAGAGAGAACGCACCGACCTGGCGGCTGACCTCACGGTACGTCCACCGATAGGATGAGCAAACCCGAATGGATCTACCCCCAGAACATGGAAATATACACTGCCACCCCCCTCTCCTTCTTTGCGGTTACGAACCGCATAGGCGCCCGTTCGTTTGAACGAACGGGTTCTTTCTACATAGGAGTTTTTATTTTATTTTTTGTAGTTTCTTTCTTTCTTTTGATTTTGTTTTTTTTCGTTTCTTTCTTTTTGAGAATCCCCCCCTGTTTCCTCTAGGTTGCGCCCATTCGTTTTGAGAACGGGCAGAAGTCTTAGGCCTGCACGCCTGAATTCGGCGCCCACCCTGCGCCAGATACAGGTGTGGGGCAGGGGGGAGAAGACCCTGCTGAGCTTGACTCCAGTTCGACTCTGTGAAATGACTGTGAGGGGCTGGCCGTTCGACATGCCCCTCACAGGGGAAAACGAGGGGTTCTAAAAGGGCAGGAAAAAAAAAGACAAAAAAAAGGGAAACAGGAGCTCAACATGCTCGACTGTTTGCTGGCCCTTGATCAAGATCAAGGGCTCAGGATGAGTCTGAGTCCTGAAGCAAGCCTCCGATTTTAGTATAACGGCAGCTCTTCCCCAAGCTCCCTCATTCATTCGAGCAGTTGGAGGAAGTGCTGCTTGGAGGAGCACCTGGAGGAGATGCTGCTTGAAGGGCAGCTGCTTGGAGGAGTACTGCTGGAGGTCTGCTGGAGGAAGAGGGTGGCGTTGCTGGCATTTTGAAGGGAGATGGAGTGGAGAGTGAGGCAGCTATGGTCGACGTGGGGGCACTCTGCCTCAATGATGGGCTGATGTTGCACCAATGGGACCACGCAGTGGAGCCAGAGCCCTAGGGCGGGTTGCGGCAGTGCGGCAGGCAGCACCTCCTTTTTAGTAGGGTTATGCCAGCGAAGTACCGCCGCGTCAACGCTGCGTTCTTTTCAGCGAGATTGTGCCGTCGGAATGCTGGCTCGACGGCGCTGGATTATTTTAAGAGGATGACGCTGTCGGGGCGCTGCCGTGACGTCAAGGCCTACTTGATGGGAGGGGCTGCTAAATTTTTACTGCGCCGTCAAAGGGAAGTGATGCCGATTTTTTTGGCGACGGCGTGGCATTCTAAAGGGAAATGTAGTCGGAATGGCGGTGCGGCGACATCAAGGCCTCCCTAAGGGGAAGTGCTGCCCGTCCGGCGGCACGACTATAACGACATTTTTTGGTTGGGGCCACGCTGCAAAATTCTGAGCGTGTCGGCGATATTATTTTTGAGGGGCAGTGCTGGTAAACTTTTGCGGCACAGTGGGCCTTCCGTTGTGGTGTGTGAGCAGGCGGCGGTGCAGCTGGATGACCGTGGTACTAGTTTTGGCAATACGGCAAGCGGGGGCCACCGTTATTTTTGTAGTGTGTGGCGGTTATGGCAGATTTCAACATGGTGTATACGATGGACTTGCAGTGGTGCACGTTTCGGATCGTGCGACAGTGGTGCATGGACCAGCGGCATGAAGAGAGTGAGGAGTGAGTGCACGCGGCAGTGATCATTGGAAGTGCGACACTAGCGGTTTCTGTCGGAAGCCACCTTTATTTTTTTTGCGGCGTGCGGAGCGAGCGGTTTTGAGTTCGGGACCATCTGGTGTTGCAGCGTATGTGTGAGACCATCGAGGACCATTGGGACCAACTTGAAGTTGGGACGCGAGTGGTTGTTGAGGCTATTTTTTGCAGACGTGGTGATTGGAAGAGGTTTGGACTGAAGTTAATTTGGGACAACCCTTGAGAGTTGCCGTGTGTTGGAACATCCCGGCACGTTGGGACCGGTCCAAGCAGGGGTCAGTTTGGGACATTGGGACCACGTGAAAACTCATTTGTGGGAACACCCTCCCGGAGGGCTATCTCGCTTGAGTTTTTTTGTGGCCCAACCTCTGCTCTTTTGAGTACTTGAGAGAAGGACGTGGACCACCTTTTGTGGAAAGGCCACAGCTCGTGGAGTTGTGCGGCGGTCATTTTCTTATGATTGGGATATTACTCGGCTTTCTTGAGTGAGCCGGACCAAACTTCACTCAAGGTCAGTTGATTGACTCAGACTTCCCTTCACACCTGTGTGAACCCACACTTTGCTTGGCCCTGTTTGTTTTGAATGTTGGAAAAAAAAGGCAGAGGAAAGTTGTGCGAGTCATGCTTGTGAATGTAAAGGTATGACTTGTGCAGGTAGGTAGAAGGATGTTTGCAAAGGAGGTTGTTTGCGTTTGCATGGGATGATGAAAAAAAATGTTTTCTTTCTACTTACCACCTGCCCTGTTATCAAAAGGGCGTGTGTTTTGAAAGTGGTTAATCCAATGTGCATCGAAAAATAATTGGATTTAAATCAAGAAGATGATATTGAATTGAACTTAGTATTTTCCCAAGGATTGACCCTTTCTAGCCAAAATGACCTTATCTACCTATACCTGTCTAAATGATTCTCATCCTCTATCTTTTCTGTTCTCTTTGCGTCTAAGTTACCTTGAGCTTAAGAAATGAAAACAACTGAAGTTTACTTGCGGCGGACATGATTTCTCTCTAGGAAGGATCTGGGGCGGGGGTTCGTTGCTTCAGGAGCCGACCCTGTTATCGACCCGGAGTGGACTTGCCGTTTTGTTGGAGATGGCCCGACTTCTGAGATCCGAGTCTTGTGCTCGGGCGAGGAGACGGAGTACCCCAGACCACTTCCTTGAGGGAGAGGCATGCAACATTTCACGTAATGCACCTAATCAAGAATCATTTGCAAAGCAGCCTGTCATCCAAGAAGATTAGGAACGTATAGAGACGGGTGTGCATGTGCATAATCTTAGGTCAGCGGTAGGCTGGAATGAATGACTTTGGCGGCACTTCTCATCAAGTCAAAACTATGGTCGACTCTTCTTGATGTAATTATGCGTGGTTGTTATAACTTCCTTTTGACTATGCATCTAAGGGACTAGGATTAATTTGTGGTTTCACACTTGGTTGAGACCGCCCTAGTCGACCGGTGTACGCTTCATACTTAGGAGATCAGAACCCCAAGGAACAGGCAACGCTCGGGTCCGCTTGGCGTTAACCAAGCGTATCTATACTACAACGAACGAGCAAACGCTCTTGGCTGACCTACCTCTGCGATTGCATCTAAAAGCTTTCGCACGTGGGTCAGTAGCTCGGTAGGGATACACCCCTAAGGGTGGTGACAGCTCCTTAGGGAAGGCAAGTTGTGCCCCGCGGGAACCTATCCTGTCGTAGGGGACCCTAGGAAGTATTGTTGGCGCACCCGGTTAGAGCAGCGAAGAGGACGACGCGACCACGCCTGCCCAAAGTGGTTCGCGGGGCTTTTTTGCGTTGTCTTCAAGTTGTCTCTTGTTTTTGTTTTGTTTTAGCTCCTGCGTGACATGGCCGGGAGGGCTCTCGCCTTAAACGAAAAAGGTGGGAGCCAATGAGCTCGACACTGTAATTGGAAAAAGAGTGAGATGGACAAATCTTAGGCCTAGATCCTCCCCTTAGATTTTCGTCTTAGATTTTTTAATTTTTTCACCGCTCCCTTGGATCTCGCCCGTCGTATCTAATTTCCTGCTGCTCTATTCTCCGAGACGTCCTCTTCAGCAAACGGTACTATACTTCCTCATTTGTACTTCGTCTACAATGGACGGCTGGATAAGCTTTCTGTGTTGTTCCGATCAGCGTGAGCCCTCGATAGAGAGCTCCTCTGATCGGCGGCCGTCGTTTCGTTTCGGCCTCCGAAAAGGTCGGAGGCCCACCGGAGGCCCGCTATTTTCCCACCGTCCAAAGGTACTAGTGGTTTAAACGAAAAAGGTGGGAGCTGATGCGCTCGACACTGTAATTGGAAAAAGAGTGAGATGAACAAATCTTAGGCCTAGATCCTCCCCTTGAGTTTTCGTCTTAGATTTTTCAAATTTCTTCACCGCTCCCTTGGATCTTGCCCGTCGTATCTAATTTCCTGCTGCTCTATTCTCTGAGACATCCTCTTCAGCAAACGGTACTATACTTCCTCATTTGTACTTCGTCTACAATGGACGGCTGGATAATCTTCCTTTGTTGTTCCGATCCGCGTGAGCCCTCGATAGAGAGTTCCTCTCTAACACTCTTCTCTAACTCTTTTTTTCTTCTTTTTCTTTTTTGAAAAAACCTCTCTCAAGGATGTTAGTGATGCTGATGAGGGCAGGCACCGCTAGCAACCTGGGGGAAGGCTCCATCTACAGGACCCTCTTGTCCAACTCGCCACCTGAACATCAGCACAAGAGAGAGAGAGAGAGAGAGAGAGAGAGAGAGAGAGAGAGAGAGAGAGAGAGAGAGAGAGAGAGAGAGAGAGAGAGAGAAGGGGGGAGGGGTCTTTAATATCCATGATACAATAATGTCAGATCTTCCACTCCCTCTTCACCAACGGGACCCTCTCCTCTAGCTCTTTTTTTTTTCCCTTTTTGAAAAAAACCTCTCTCAGGGATGCTAGCGATGCGGATGAGGGCAGGCACTGCTAGAACCCACCTGGGGGAAGGCTCCATCTACGGCACCTCTCCTCCAACTCGCTACCTGAACATCAGCAAAGCATGTCCCTCTCTGAAAATCACTGATGAAGTCTCTGTGTAGGTACCGGCTATGGCACTAGGTTGGTAGCCCAGCTTACTCTTTCTGTACCCCTGAGGTCGTTGAAGTGGTGCTTCAACGTGCGCCTGCCCACTTGAGCAAGCCAGATGAGATAGTGGTTGTAGCCTTGGAGAGCAATGAGTGATTTGGATGGGACAAAGAGTGGGAAAACGTTGTGTAATGCTCAACAGTGGAAACATACTCTGCTAGATCACCTCTTGACACACTTGCCAGTATTGCCACACAAGGTGTGTGACCACAAAGCCAGATAGGGCGTGGCAAGCTTTTGGTAGACAGTAAAATCCGGGCTCCAAGACATATCTATGCTATGTTCTTGTCCATTTCATGGTGCAAGGCTCAACATTGACCCCCTCCCCTCCCCCCCCCAAAGAAAAAACAAAGCCCATTTTATTCTGGTGGGTGCCAGTCCGGTTCTTTTCAACTTTGAGACATGCCATTCATCACATTCAGGCGCTTTTGACTTGTGTAGCTCTTTGCCTTTGCACAGTGCCTCAAAGAACAAAGAAAAAAGAAAAGGTGGCCAGGAGCGACTGCAGAAGCAGGAGGACAAGGAGAAAGCAACAACGATTACAATGAGCAGCAGCAGGAGGGCATGAGGTGGGCAAGGAAGTGGGGGATAAAAGAAAGACTGCACAAGGAAAAAAAGTGAAAGAAAAAGAGAAGGGAAAAAGAGAAGAAAGATGAGAAAGAGGAGAAAGGAACCAAAGACGATGAAGAGGCCACAGACGAGATGATGAAGATTAGGAGAAGATAGACAGGAACAAGGCAGAAAGCATGAGGAGCAGAAGATCAATAACATACCAGATCATCCTTCTCAGTCCGAAAATTTCTGATCGTCTCTGCCAACTTCAGGAGACCCGTTGGCTGTTTGCATTTTTCACAATCATCACCATAAAAAAACAAACGAGCAATTCCATCATCCTTGAGACCATGGACGTCCAGTAGGCATTGAAAAGGTTCAGCTGCAGCAGAACAAGATCCTGATTCCTCGCCTTTGTTACTTCGGACTTTATATGTGCATTGCACTCAAGATCCAAGTCACACCAGCAAGATTCACACAATACGAGTGCACAAAGAACTTAATTACAACTTATGATGATATAGTAGATATACACAGGTTGCTCGAGGTCTGCAATTATGGCCACCGGCAACGACGACAAGCAGGTAAGTCTCTCTCTCTCTCTCTCTCTCTCTCTCTCTCTCTCTCTCTCTCTCTCTCTCTCTCTCTCTCTCTCTCTCTCTGCTATCCACTACTGCACTCTGCTCCTGCGACCACTCTCTGAATGTCGTCCCTGCTCTCCCTCACTGCACCTGTGCTATTCCATAGCTATGGTGCCCAGCACACTGTTCGCACTTCCAAGATCTTGGCACCCTGTAACGCAGCAGCGCTCCCACATAAGTCAGAATCAAAGAAGAGGAGGCTCCTGGGGCTGGTCTCCCTTTTGTGCACGTTCCTCTGCCTCCCATGTGATGCTGGACTTTTCCTGCAAGGCCTTACTGGGGCAGACAAAGATTCGGTCTGTCGTGGACTGGGACTAAATCTCCAACTGGACCGGGACTGGACACACTACTTACTGACTGCTAGGGACTTCTACTGTTCCTAACAGCTCTGTCATGTCGACCTAGGTTACAAACTTTACCTCTTCCTTCATATCGAACACCCAACTCTTGCAATCAAACTAGGTTACTGAGAGAACGACACAAAGAACAACGAAATGTTAGCAGCCTACACTCATTGCCAACATCACATTATCTGTCGATCAGTGACTATGCATACGCAGGAGAGAGGATGACCCAATCAGCACAGATACCTTACCTAGTCTGCTCTGAGAACTTCAAGAAGAAGAAAACTTGTGAGAGACAAATAAAGAATAAAATGCACGTTACAGACTAACTGGAAAAAATGCACCCGAACGTCTGGTTAGCACAGCGGTAGCACTAATTTTCCTGTGTGCGCCTGTGGTCCTTCGCGCCCGCACTTTGCCGTTTGTTTTATTCGAACACGACGGCGATAGGCGCCGCCGAGGAACACGATGAGCAGTAGCCCCACCAACAACGCCATAGCCCTATGGACCGGCTTAGAAGCCCCATGTGCGTGCCCTAGCGCGCGCCCAGGACTTCTACGTGCACTGCCAAGGGTGCTCGGGACGCTCATTAAGGTAACTTTTGTCGTGCTCCACAAGCAACATATGGACTTTCAAAGCCCATCAGCTCATGCATCTGCCTGATGCCCTACTCCAGGTGAAGATGCCGAGGATCGACTTTAGGTTGCTGGATGTGGCATTCTCTGTTCCCACACGGGGCTTGTCAGGCCCGACCTGGTAGGAATAGGGGGCCGCAGGGTTGTAGGTCCATTTAGGCCGAGTAGCAGTAGGCCATGGGCGTCGTTCCGGTTAGCGCCAGGCCCTCGACCAGTTTTCGGTCAGACGCTGATTCGGGTCAGCAGTAGTTAGTCTCCAAGACTGTTGGCACCACAGGTTTTGAGTTTGGCGGCCGTTTGGTAGAAGCCCTGGCCCAATGGTAGGCCTCCAGGCAGTCCCAGCACTACTTATAGCTGGACTGCCCTGTAGACAGTAGGCATTCTTCAGGTAGTAGTGTAGTCGACGATAGGCAGAGCTGTAGTCTTCCAGGGCTGGTGCGTTACGAGCTAGAGCTGCAGTCTACTGCAGCGGAGGTTAGGGAGAGGGCCGGCTATGGTGGAGGCCAGGGGACTCACCTGATGACTTACCTGCGGCGCCAACGCTCCAGCTTCGTCCTCAGTGCGTCCGTAACTGCATCAAGGCGACACCTTTCGCAGGTCAGCACCTGCTACTCTGAGAGAGAGAGA